GAGCTTTGTTGAAAGTCATTTTTGAAATACAATATTTACCTGGATTAAGTGCCACCAGGCATGTGCTTGTTTCTCTATGTGTGATGGGCCAAAGGATTAGATAAACAAAGATTACAATTCTAAAAGGGTGCTGTGTGGACTGCTGGCTCACTCCCAGGTATATCAGTGATCGCTGGGGTCCAGTGAACTCCCAATCTTTGCTCTGGGAATTCTGCCCCTCAGTCACACGGTTCAGATTCAGGGCTGTGGTCTGTAGAGACCACTCACCCCATTTGGAGGGGTTGGGCAATGGAAACTGTAATTAAGGCTCAGTATCAGGGTCACTGCCCAGAATCTTGCTGGACCCTTATCAGTTTTTCCAGTTGTTGTACAATGCTGAAAAAGATGCTGCAAAATCATTTGGAATGACGTATGTGGTTCCTTCCTTAATGGCTAAGCAGGTTTTTATTCTGGTTAGATTTAGAAATTAGGCAGTTTGTGTTTTTAACGGTACTGCGTGTAGTTGGTATTTCAAGTACTTGTATGAAAGAAGTTGGCCTGTATAGAGCAGGATAGCTGCTTTTCCCATCTAAAATGTCCAATGAAGTGAATTGATTGAGACTTTTGATTGAGTAGGTTTTAAATCCGATAAAGTTTTTAAGCAATAGTAGCGCATTTAAGAAATAGTAGCACCGGTGACATTGTGGTTTCCTCATTGGGTTCTAATAGCAAGGTCAGTGGTTCAAACCTCCTCGCTGCTCTGAGGGAGAACCAAGAGGCTGTCACCTCCTGTAAAGACCTACAAGCTGGGAAATGCTGTGAGTTAGAATGGAAGGTGCCTTAGATGTTGCTTAAGAAAATGTTTGGAACCTTACTCAGACAATTCTATATTTAAAAGAATGAAATACATTACAATATATAACATATAAAAATAGTTCTGGGTGTTTTAAGGAGTGGAGCAAGGTTTTTAAGATGAACTGAATATTTTTTAAAGTGATTATAAAAATTTGCTGATTATAAAGAGAATTATAAGCTATATAAGGTCAATGTAAAACTTGAAGGTAAACCAGTGCATTTTCTTTCTATAACTTGTGATTTATTGGAACCAGGCAAACCTGAATTGTACTTTGTGTGCACAAAGCCACCTTTTCAATTATTTTTGTAAAAATCATTTACTCTAAAGTGACCGACACTGTGTTTAGGTCACAGTCGATGTTCAATATTCGTTAACTTTGAATTTAAAATCTGAATCGGCAATGTTCCTGACGTGCAGGCAGGAGGAAGCACATAGAAACCCCACATCAATTAATATTCATGCTTTGAAAGAGGATGTCAAAGCAAGAGCATAGGATGTGCAGGGAGATTTCGTACCTCTGCAGCAGAGGCAGGAGGGTTAAAAGCGTTCAGTGCAATGGTGACCATAATGTTAGGCCTTTCCAGATAGTAGGTACTCAATAGAGACTCGTGTAATAGTAATTTTTAGAGCTATTTTTCTCAAAGTGGGGTATTGACTGGGCCATGCGTTAACTCCCGGAGTGCTATTTGCATAGACCACCTGCTGCGTAGTCACATGTGGCTGTTCTGGATATTGATCTCATCCATTCAACCAAATGCCATAGGTAATTGAAAATTAGTTATGTATGCTGTGTGTCACACTTATCAAGTCACTCTTCGTAAACAGAACATGAGCAAGGATGAGGGAGCCAGAGACATGTCCGCCGTCTGGACAAGGTTCAGATGGAATTGCACAGAGCACAGGATTTCTCTCTGCTTGGCCACTCAGACGGCCCCGAGCACGAGGGTGCTTGGCTTGCCTGCAGACATTGCCACTGAGGTCTGGCTTCTGGTAATTAGGCACTCACTGTTAGCTGGGCACTGCTGTCAGTGAGCCTTTGAGACAAATTGCAAAGTCTGTACAGCCATCTGAGAGATGGAGAAGGATGCCCAATGGTACTACAGGGGAGATTGGTGGCTCTCACAAGTTTGAAAGTGAGTGGTTTAAGAGACAGCCTTCAAAATGGAATTTAGAAATCCCTTTCCTGGGGTAAAAGGGAAAGTCCAGTCAGAAGTATGGTCCAAGAAGATTCTGTCAGGATGCAGTGGAACACAAATAAATACCAGGTTCTGATTTCGGATCAGAAACCCCAACTATGCAAGAAAAGATGGGATTCGGGAGGTAGCAATACATAGCCCATACATTGAGGCCTGAGAATTCAAGTTGGTGAGTTGACAGTTTATCGTGGTCCTCCAAAAAGGGTGGAGTGCTTAGGATGAGGGAAGTGACCAGTCCACTCTTTTTGTGGACCTGTCATGAACCTGCCTGTAGTTCTGGACTCCACGCTCTGAAAGGAAAGTAGACCCAACGCTGGCCTCTGATGGTGTGAGTATTCCAGAACCCGTCCCAAATAACACAGGAAGAGCGGGGAGAGTTTCAGCCTGGGTACAGTTTCAGGAGGACCTGGACACTGTCATTAACATCTAAAGGACTGTCATGTGGATAAGGGGACTGTGCTTATTTTTTTGTTTGGGGATCTGGAGATGAAAGTTACAGGGGCCTCCCAATAAGGCAGGCCTTTGTTCCTTTTAAATGTTTGAAGACTTAATGGGTTGCTCTCTTAATCCTAAAACTGTTTGCTCCCACTCATGGGTCCGCCCATCGGCTGGGCTTTGAGGACTGGATGCCGATGATCCTGAAGTTTTGAGCCAGCTCCAGAACTCCACGGTCCCTCGTCCTCCAGCAGGGACCCTGTCCAGCAGAAAGTCTTACCTCTCAGGCAGGCAGGTAGTGAACAGAATCATGACTTCATGAACCTTCTCAGCAGCAGAGGGGGGAGTCTTTGGACTTCTCACACAGGATTTCCACGAGGGAAGTCTTGGGCTGGTTCTCATCAGTGGTTGCTAGCCAGTTCTTTCCTAGCACGGCCGGGAGGGGTAGTCTGGGGAGGAGGGCCCTTGTTTTCACTAGTGTGTACTCTGGAATTCTTTTCGTGTGCTGGGCAGTGTTGTGGGGATTGGAAAAACTTTGAGAATCAAGATAAAGTTCTCACCCCATGATCCCTGCGTAAGACATAAACACAAACTATACAAATAGCCAGGCAGTTATTATAGCTGTGCTTTGGATGCAGATCAGGAGAGATGTCTTCGGCAGCGGTTCTCAACCTCACGGGATTCGCCTAAGCCCATCGGAAAACACATATTTCCGATGGCCTTAGAAACTGAGACACTGCCCCTCTATCTATCTCCAGGCGGGTCTGCCCATATACAGATATACCCACATACGAGTCCCCAGCGGGAAGACTGTTTAGCCCATGCTGCACTGTACTTCAAGACAAAATTTCACTTCTTTGTCATTAGAAATAAATATTTCACAATATATAGTTACATATTGTTTTGTGATTAATCAATATGCTTTAATGATGCTCAATTTGTAACAATGAAAATACATCCTGCATATCAGATATTTACATGACGACTTATAACAGCAAAATTACAGTTATGAAGTAGCAACGAAAATAGTTTTCTGGTTGGGGGTCACCCCAACACGAGGAACTGTCTTAAAGGGTTGAGGACCACAGGTCTATGGGATGGGCTGCTCTGGAATTGCAGATCGAGGAAACTGGGTCTTAGTGTGGGTAGCTCGAGATTTCCCTTGGTGGGCGACTGAAACGAGCCTGAGGAAGGGTGAGACGTTCTCTCGATAGCCGCAGTGCAGTGAAGCTCAGGAGTGAGTGCCGCAGCAGTGGACTTCACACTTGCTTTGGGCCCCAGAGAGTTCACCTAGGGTGGGCTGACTGATGCAAAGCCAGTTACAGGCTACAGAGAAGCAGGAGTTTTCATAACCGAGACCAGAGAGAGTATGTAAACAGTGGACATGTTATCTGGAGGGGCCAGTCCCTGGAGAAGGACATCATGTTTGGTAAAGTTGAGGGAGGATCAGCAACAACAACAGAAACCAGGCAGGCAGATCCTCAATGAGATGGGTTGCCGCAGTAGCCGCACCCACATGCCATGCTCAAACATGGATGGCAGTGCTTTCTTCTGCTGTCCACAGATGATGGGGTCTCTCTGCGTCAGGGCAAACTCAAGGGCATCTATCAACCCTGTGAAAAATGAAGTGTTTGATAGGAAAGCAAGCGGACGCCAAAGTTTGAGTGGCTCAGAAACACCCATGTCTCGTGAGTGGGTTTTTATTTCACATGGTGTATTATTAGTGGTGTGTTCTCACTCATAGCTTCAAGGGGTATCCTTTCCCATGGCATTATAGTTCTCTGAGGTCAGACTATCTCCTGATTGCGTCGGGATGGGTCTTGGGGATTTATCTCTGTGTAGGCGTGTTCATTCCTTAAAGGGTTATAAAGCTTAGGGGAGGTTGCATCTCTCCCCCTCCCCCTGTCACTGCAGTGATCTTGTCTGTAGAGTTCGTGGTGAAAGACGGCTTTTAGGGATGTCTGCATGTACACTGTTTAGCTTCTTAGACCTAGTTGTAAGGGTGCCACAGCCTGGGTGCCAAAGTCTCTTGAGACCATTCAGATTCTTTTTTTTTTTTTCCTCTTTTATTTATTTTAACCATTCAGATACTAACTGGAATTTAGAAACCAGGATGCAACTGGATTTAAAAAAAAACACACAAGAAGGCTAGAACAGAACTGGATTATTTCCACCCAGATCATCTCTTTGTTTTATTTGTGGCTTACACATGTGACCACTGTTCAGCTACAAGCAGGCACACAGCAACAAGCAAACACACACACACACACACACACACACACACACACACACACACACACATACACGGCACAGTCTCAAGCACACCTCTGCCCTCAGAAACCCTAGTTTCCCCTGGCAGATCCAAGTTCAAAGTCAAAATACCCTTCCTCCTAATCTTCCACCATCAGTGTTTTTCTAGTATTAATACACCGATAGCTGCAACTATGACATGCTTGAGTTCTGAATCTTAGCTTTCAAGGGTTGGTTTTGTTTTTAGGTAACCCGCTTTATTGTGAATTCTTTCTTTCTTCCAGGTAGGAATGAACTGATCGCCAGATACATCAAACTCAGGACAGGGAAGACGAGGACCAGAAAGCAGGTAAAGGGCCCTCTCGGGTGGTGCTGCATGTCCTGTCCGCGAATGGCCCCAGGAGGCATTTTGGCTGCAGTGGCTGGCTGTGCTTCAGCTCCCAGGAACCCCCAACTTGAGGTCCCTGTGCAAGCAGCAGCGTTCTCGGTGCTCCTGGATCGGCTGTTTCCACTGCTCATCATTTCAGTGACCCTGAGGATGAGGCCTCCCCAGTGGAGTGCTTCTCATGTCCATACTTAGGCTCCTACCTGGCAGATTTCAGATCTCGCTGCCCAGGATGGCGTGGGGACAACTGCTGCACGGTCGATCGGAACCCACGTTTCTTCCCCAAATGGTGCACCTGCCAACGCCACCAAGGCTTGCAGGCGTGCGTACTCTCCCAAGTCCCGAAGTGGTGAGATATCTTCCACCTTGTAAAATCCTGGGACAATTACCTCTTAGTCATCATTTTCATGAGTAACGCTAGCAGCCTGTGCATCGGCCTAACATAATGCAGAATGATGTGCATCCAGGGGACTGTCGCTCCTTCAGCCGTGGCTTGTGGTCATTAGTTACTGCGCAGAAGTGAAGTTACAACCCACCCACCTCTTGTGCAGAGTGCACCGGGTGAGGGCATTTTCCTCTGCCGTCCGTCGGAACCCGGCCTCCCCTGGTCCTTGCCGAGGGTGACCACCACAAATCTCTGAGGTGAACCCAGTACAGAGCTGGGATGGATGAAAAATGCTTGTCTAATTAAGGAAAACAAAGCCCAAGGGGTTTACAAAAAGCAACCACCCACCACCACCTGATGGGTGAGTTGTTAAAAATGAACTTTAAAACATTGATCTCTGCCAAATGATCTGGAATGGCTCTGAAATATATATATTTCAGATATATATGTCTGCAGTCAAAAACCACAGGTCCAGATAGGCTGGGGTCTCCTTAAGCCCTACGGGCAGCTTCCAGTTCTGCTGAAGGGCTGTTTTTCCGAGTGTGTGCTTGGGACAGGCTTTATCCCCAGGAATGCTACATGCACCACAGCCAGGAGGGCCTGGTGCTGAGTCAGCACGAGAGAAGGTGGCCTTCTGCCAGGGCAGAGGCAGGCCCTAACTGTGGCCCTCATCAACTCAGAGGATCCTATGAAAACGAAATGGGCCTCAAACAGAAACCAGCGGGGGCTGGATGCAGGGGTGAGGAAGCCCAGCAGGCGCTCCTGCTTCTATGAGCCTTGCAAAGTACACAAGCAAACTGAAGGGAACGGTTGAGTTTAATGGAACTCGAGACCGAGAGAAAGGGCTCCTTGGTGGTCATACCCCCGGTCTGCAGAGTCGCTGTTATGGGGACGGAAGAACCTTCACCCAGCCGCTGGACTTTGAAATGGCAGGCTGGGCGTTACTGAAACTGTCTATCTGTTCCTGAGCGAGCTCTGGTCATTCTCCCCAGGCTCATCCCTAGGGCAGCCAGCCCTCACGAAATGTGAAACCAAGTGCCTGATCAAAGAGATGTGAATTTGTTAACCTCACAGAACCATTGTGCTTCAGAAACAGGCCGGCTTTGCCTCCCCACCCCGACATCCTGGGAATGGTTGTAGGCAGCAGTTGGTGATACACCTCTCCAATGTGGGTCTGTTGTTGAGCAAATCCATGTGGTTTTCAATCCAGATTTTTAACAGGCTGGCTGGCTGGCTGTATTCACACATTTCGCTTTGTAATAATATGCAGATCTACTTGGCACCCAGTCAAAAGAGTGAAAGGATTAGAGATACTTATAAGCGGAGGAGAAAAAGAACGGGGGTGGGGAGGGGTGGGGGTGTGTGTGTGCACGTGGGGGAAGCTCTGCTAACTGGGACTTTCCATTTCTTTTTGAGATCTAATTTACATGTCAGTATTATTTTAACATTTGCTACAGAATCCAGAGCTCTTAATGAGATCAGAATACAACCAACTGCATCTGCTTTTTGATTCTGCAGAAGGTGCTAATTTATGGATCCCCGCACAAAAAACCCCACAAAAATGCACTGCCTTAAAGTTGATCCGACTCTCAGTGACCCACCTGGGCAGAGTAGAGCTGTCCCCTAGGCTTCTCCAGGCTGGGGATTTTTATGGAAGCTGACTGCCATGTCTTCTTCCTCCAAAGGAGCCTTCGACCCACCAACCTGCTGGTTAGCAGTCGAGCACTTTAACCACTGTGCCACCGGGGCTCCTGCTTTATAGGCAGTCTCTTCTGAGCCGAGACAAAGGGAGTTTCCATCCTCATCCTGAGAAGTTAGATGTATTTTCACTCATGCCTACCCCCACCTTTTAAATTTTATGAAGAAACCCCCACCCCCCAGAAATAGTTCTTCCCAAACCCGTGATTCTTCTCCCGGGTGGGAGACCGCCTGTGAGTCTAAACCTTCACCCCCTCATCGAGTCCCTGCAGTGATGGCCCAGTCTGAAAAGCTTAGAGCAGCGCTGGGGGCTTGGTGTCTGGCCGGGACTGTGTGTTCCTAACTGCCGCGCTTTGTTGAGATGCAAATAACCTCCCCCTCCCCCCCTCCCCCTTGAAAACCCTCGCGAGGAGTAGCGATTTTATATTTGATTTCCTTTTTTTGTTTTGTTTTGTTTTGTTTTTTGTTTCCCCTCATAAACCCGCACAATGTAGGTGTCTAGTCATATACAGGTCTTAGCAAGAAAGAAAGTTCGAGAAATTCAAGCCGCCATTAAGGTACGTCTGGCTTGCCCAGTTGTAGGGGGCTTTTCATCTCCATGGTTACAGGCTTTTCCTTTGTTTCCCTCCCTTCCCCTACCCTGCAGGTGTCTAGTCACATTCAGGTTCTTGCCAGAAGGAAATCTCGTGATTTTCATTCCAAGCTAAAGGTATGCGCTTTCCTGCTTTTTGGCTTGTGGTTGCTATGCACCTCACTTCCTGTTTTCCATGGTGACCGTGAATGCCTGGTGCTGGGATCCTGTAACCTAGTTTCCTCGCATGGAGAGCGTTGTCCTTCCTTTGTGTCTAATCTCTCCGTCTGTGTACTAGCCTCACATTAAACGCGAGTGTGCGTGCGTGTGTGCGTGTTCCTGATAACAATGCCTATGCAGCGCAGAGCTGGTCGTGATAACTTTGCAGCCCAGAAACCTGTTTGGTTTTTTTTTTTTTGTTTTCTTTTTCTTAATCTTTTTTAAACCTTCAAATGGCCACCAAACAGCCCAGTAATTGGAAAGCAACAAAGTCCAAGAGAGGCACAGTGGATGCAGAAATTATTTTTAAAAGAAAAAATCATTTCCTGAATGGTCATGAAATGCCTTTAAAAAATAAATTTAAATATTATTTTGATGTATTTCCAAAAAACATGAAAAAGAGGTCCTTTTCCTGTAATGCTTCTTCCAACATGGGAGACTATTTGAGGCCACATTTCTTCCACGTTGCTTAATAATGTTTTCAAAATGAACGGCTCTGTTATTAGGAAAGAAAGTTTGAGGCATGGCCTTCAAACAAAAGGAAAAATGGATTTTACAGACAGGAACGTTCTTGATCAAGTAAGCCCGCGTTTGCAACTCAATATACAGTGAGTTTTAATTTTTCTCCCCCCTCTCCACACATCTCATTTTCCAATCCCTTAAAATGATTGTGAAGCTAAAAATGGAAGCATGGACCATTTTAAAAACAAGTTCTCCCCATTTTCGTCTCTTCCAAAGTGTGCAGTGAAGACGGTCTGACTTTGTGTCTTTTCCCAGTGCCCTGTTTCCAGCAGTGCAAAGGGATGTTTGTTTACAGGGAAGAGTTCAACTTTCTAGCAAAAGTGAATTTGGATCCTGTATTATAGCCTTTCCGATGTGCCTTGGTTTTTGCCTTGTTCTGGGCTGATTTTTGCCATATATTAATGTGTTTTTGTTTGAAACGAGAAAACACAGTGTAATATCACTGCATTGGGTGGCGGAACACTGGGACTCTACCCAAAGTCCTCAGACTTTTTCTTTTCTTTCTTTTTTTTATGCAAACCAGGCTGGCAGTGGAGCCGGACTAGGGCCTATGCTAGGCTAGGCGGGAGCAGTTGGCGTGGTTCCCTCTGCAGTGGGCTGGCTCGCTCGCACATGTGGCTGATGGTGGCTGGCTTTTAGCTGCACTGGCTGAGCAGTTGGAAGACTAAGATAACTAAATAGAATCCCGCTTTTTAACCCAAGGTGCAGTCCCCTCTATGTGGATGTAACTACCCCAGTGTTTGCTGAAGTTCTGACTCTGTTTCTGGTCTTTCTGAGCTAACGGGTTAATGATGTACAAAGAAGTTTACAGACATTAATTGTGTGTTTCCAGTCGAGATATTATGAATTGCACTCTTTGCACTGTTGGCATGGTTCTTGTCGACTTACGGGGCACAGAGTCCTCAGCTGAAAGCCCGAACAGTAAAACCCTTTTGCTTGGTGATTCTTCCTCAAGAGGAATATGTTTGCTACTCTAACTTTGCTTTTTACATATGCCTACACAGAGACACACAGCTATATTTGTTTTGTTCTTTAAAAAAAAAAAGGATTATTGGCCCCGCTCTCAGGCCTGGCCCACTCTCCTTTGGGGCAGGCAGCGGAGGAGGTGGGAGAAGAGGCAGTGGTGTAGCAACTGGCTCAGCATTTAAGCTCCAAGAACCACCTCCGTCTTCTGTGGCTCCTTTCCTTCCTCCCTGCCACATGATTCTTTGGGAAAATGGACTCCTTTGTGTGTGTTTTTTGTTGTTGTTTTTTTGTTTTGCATCACTTAACAATGGAGTGTCCCAGGCAAGGAGCTCATCATGGTAGGCAGTTAACACCCAATCTTCTACTCACAGAACCCGCAGTGTATACGGGACCGTGAAATAGAGCTTTCTGTTATGCATAAGGGTTAGCTGTTAGTGCCAACGTAAAGCACAGAAGGGATTCTAGGGACCCTCTGCATAGAAACGTACTTCTGAGTTTAAAAACTGGAAGAGAGGAGTTACCATAATGTTCAACCACGTCCATGTCCATGTGAAGTAGTGAGTTCCACAATTCTGACTCTGAGGAGCCACGCAAGGAAACAGGCTCAAAGGGTGTAAGTTAATTTGACAAAAGTCTCAAACCTTAGTAAGTGACAAAGCCCCGATTTGAACTCAGACCCTTCTGAATCCTAAAACCACTTCTCTTTCAGGCAGAATTTTATCTAGTGGAGATGGGAGAAGGCTTCATGCCATTGCGTAGCGTGTGTAACCTGTCACCCCTCATGTTTGCTGGAGCTGCAGCCCTTTGGTTTAGAACAAAGAGGAATGTTTAACGTGGACCTGTAAACATGGAGGTCAGAATACAGGCCTGCCCTTAGGAGTTGGTGCTTTGACGGTCATCAGTAACTCAGGGGGCGATGCGACCTTACTGCACAGAGCTGTCATGGCATCATGCTGTGGGCGTCAGGAGAAAGACTTGGCTGGCCCTTGCTTCCTAAAGATGCTACTGCCTCCACTTCTCCCACGGGCATTCTATCCTAAAGGCGTGGCCCTTAGCCTCCCTAACCAGCCATTGCTTGGAAGTGGGTTCAGACTCTTAAACTGACAAGGTCTCGATGGAGGAGGTGGATCTCATCTATGCTATTGTTCAGCTCTGGAGTCTTCTTGCACATTTGTGAGGGGCAGGAGCAAGCATCCTCCCCAACTTTGGGATGGGGTGAGAAGATAGGCACAGTCTTCTGGGGCCTTCCGTATCCTCTACTGTGATAAACGCACTAGAGTCGTGGGAAGCCATCCCAACATGGCAAGCACGGGTACCAGGCTGTGGAGATGGGAGGAAGTTACTAAGCTCTCAAGAGATGCTGAGCTGTGCCTGAGAAGATGTAGGAAAGTTTCCTATCAGGATCTGCTGTGGCAAGCCCTCCCTCAGCCAGGCTGGTCGCCACCTCCACCCAGACTCCGAAGTCAAAAGAATTCTGTTTTCTGGAGCAAACAAAGGCCTTTGGTTCTCCTGTTGTGACTGAGGCCAAACTTAACGTTTACCTTTTCCTCCCAGGGAGCTTGAAAAGGTGCTCTGCCCACACCTGGGGTCCTTGCCAGGTGTGGCTTCCATGTGAGGCCTCTCTCGCCTAGAAGCTGTTCTTCCCTTGCGGAGAGGAGTGTGGTCTCCCAACCTTTCTTAAATAACAAAACTCATGTTTCATTTCAAACTCATACTTGAAACTTTCAATACAGCATGGAAAATTCCATGATCTTTCTAGTCCATTGCCCAATGAACCTTTTTGAAGGTTCCCCCCATACTCCCTCATAGAAGTGAGTGAATGCTGTTCTAATTGAAGCACAGCTTCTCTCAGACATCTCAAACCTTTGACTGTTCCGCTAAATAAGGTTTGACAAGCCACACGGCTTTACACAGCAGGCAGAGGAGATGCCTAGCTGTCAGGCTGTCCCTCCTAGCCACGCATTCCAGAACAGCCCATGTGTCCCATTTTTAAAGTTGTATTCTCTGAGCTCTGGAGCTTGCTTTAACATACACCAAGTTCCCCCGAAGGCAACAGGCTCAAAGAAACCATTGGAAGAGAGTAGCCATTCTTACGTTCATATTTGTAGTTGAGTCATCTCACTAAAGAAAGCCACTCTCTTGGAAGTCTCTTGGAATAAATTCCAAAGGCCAGCTCTATGGTGCTGCTGCCAAGGACACAGAATCCACAGTGCTTTCCAAGTGTTTGCTTAGGGCCTAGATCTCCCCCGAACGTGAATGTGTTCTGGAGAAACACCAGACACATCTACTGTTTTCAGCTTCATCCGTGGAGAAAACATGGGGCTTCCTTGAGGGCCATCCCCAGGTAGGGGAGCTCAGTAGAAGTTAAGCAGGACAGTGTGGGTGCAGCAAAAGCAGTGACTAATTCCAAGTGTGGGGGACTTGAGAAAGCTTCAAGGAAAGGAGGCCATTAGAACTGAGCTCAGAAGAAGGCAGAAACTTTCTCTGCCTGGGGGAAAGGGAGGCTGTAAGGGCCGCTTGCCGTTACAGGCTTGGGGTGGGCAGTGAGGCTGCTGGAGAGGCCCTGCAGACTTCTGTGGACGTTGGAGTTTACCATCTGAGGCGCTCTCGCCAGTCGTTTTTCGGAGGGTCATTAAGAGGGAGTCAGTAATTCAGAGATAGCAGTGAGGTTCGTGGGGGGGGAATAACCACACTCACAGAGGGCAGTAGTCAGCCCTTCCTGCCATCTTTGGCTGCCTTCCCAAGCCAGGCACCTTCTCCGCCTATCTGCTCTTAGTGTTTTTAAAGAGTAAATTATTTTTGAACGTTTTTGTCCTTAATAAAGCTGGAAAGTATACGCCAAATGATTTTCAATAACAGCAGTTGAAGCTTAACTTATTAAAGACTGGGGTCTCTTAAAGGCATGTGCATCTAAATTTATAAGTGAAATTTTCGATGTTGCCCTGTTTTCAACCCAGCAAGGAAAAAGTACAGAGAATAACATTTTTTATGTTTCTACCATCCATAGATGTTCATTTTTACTGTGACACAGTTCCTTTCATATTTTAAATGAAAGAAATGCTAAACCGTTGTACTTATACAGTTTATTTTCTCTAACCAATATCAATCTGTCTCTTTCCTTCAGTACTTCTGTCTCTCTCTGGCCATTTATTTTCACAGAGAACACAAAAATGCACCCCTAGCTCTCTGCCCTCTTTTTGCCACTGTCCTAAAATTAATCTAGAGTTTTATTCATTGTCTGTCTACCAGTTGTATTCTTTTGTGTTATAGCAACAAACTGCTAACACTCCCCTGCCCCCCCACACACACACAATTTACAGCAGCCTGAGCCAAGGCAAACTTGACTAACTCTTTGGGGTGACCACATGGATATTGACTAAAGACTAGAAGGGGAATATGCCGGGAGCCGGGAACTATTAAGAAGTGTAAGC